GGAAATCGCAAGGGTCATCAGGTGCAACGAGCATGAGTCTTAATGCACTCTCCGGAAAGCGATTCTGAAGGCACGACGGGTGTCATCGTTCATCGGCCTTATTGGCGATCTTAGAGAGATATCTCTTAGCCCTGCCATGGCTAAAAACTTAGCTCCATGCTCGGAATGTTTTGAAGTCAATTCGATCATTGCAAACACTGCAGGCATGCATTCCCGGGTCCATTGTTATTTTTTTTCTCCTTTTAAAAAAATTGAAGCCCTGAATGCTGAGGTTAGATGGCTTGCAACCCTTGTGTATGTTGCTAGCACTAAGTGAGGGTGAAGGGTACCTTGCAACCCGGCCAAACCCAGCGTCATGTTACAATCTTCGATTGAAAAGCGCCCCTGTACTTTAGCTCATGAGAACGATTATTCAGTCTTCCCCTGTTTGTATCCACAAGCCAGTGCCCTTAGATTCATCTGGTTGCCATTTTTCGATCTTTAGCAATCTTCATGCTAATGTACTCCTGTGGATTGTGAAACAGCATCACGGTTTGGTACTCGCTGCATCTGAGTAAGTGTGAGAATCCGTTTCTAGATTGGTTGGTGCGTTTCCTTAACTTAGTCTCACATAGGCAACAATCTCAATTTCCCAATTATGAATAGGCCGTTTTTGTCAACCTACCGTCTTTAGCGACGGTATCTGTTGACTTGTCCTGTTAACAACTGCCATGTCCTAAGACGTGCACCCAATGACGCACACTAGCGTGTCAGAACGTGCTTCTATACTTCGCATGCCCTACCCCCTTGCCAAAGTAAAGCAAACAGGACATCACTCTTTCTGGACAACCCTCTCAGCGTTCAAATTGGAGGGATGCCTTCGCACAAACCATAAACAAATTCCAAGCTGAAAGTGGAGAGAAGCATGCCAGACCAATTGGCTAGATAAGCACAGTTCAATGGTCATTCAACAGTTTTTATATGCGAACTGGGGAAACTAGGACTGCATAATCAAATGGTGCTCTAATTTTTCCACTACTCCTAAACAAACCAGACTTTCAATCCAGGTACCAAGTTGAATACCATCATCTCCAAGTTTGTTTGACATGGTCGGATAAGCAATTCTTCTCAATTAACTCTGCAATTGTACAATATGCTCTCAGGCTGAGGTGTGACCTACTATTCAACTGAGAGGTTCACCTCCATGTGATTAGGCTTCACTAAACCAGCGTAAACAGATTTCGTTTCCATAACGTCCGCTCAGTATGTAAACTGTTGGCTAAACACGAACAAGCCGCCTTCGTGGCTGTCCTCTTTGGCAAAGAAACGACTGAAAAGGTATCACGAAAAATGAGCCAAGCTCAGGATTCAAAAACAAATGTAGTACAATTACATACATGTTACACAGCTGTAGATCGATTTTCTAACCCAAAAGATAGACGTGACCTTAAATAGCTTACAACGTCTGCAAACGTTGATCACTGTCTTGGAAGGTGATTCCACAATCCTCACACATAAAACAGAACCCTTGACCCTGAAAAGTTCAACCAGAGGATAGCAAAACAGTGGGCTACAAGCAAGAATCCTCGTAGTGAGCTTCAAACAGCAATATACTATTGAATCAAATCTGAGTGACGGAGTACATGTACCATACCTTGCACCGCTTCTACAGTCGTTAAAACACTCACGAGCTAAGCTTGTCCATCACAAACCTCTGAAGCTTCTGCAGCCACTCTGATGCAATACAGATGGGGCCTTTAGAGGTTGGATACTCCTTCTCGATGTGAGGGGAGGGACTTCGTAGAGCTGGATGCACAAGGCCTCCCACCCAACCCTCCTTAGGAATCGTCCCTATCATATCTTCATGTGGAGCTCCATGAAAGCTCCAATGTGCCATCCTCTCCCACGAGTCGTCTCTACGCTCATACTGCATCAATTCTCGGCCTAGGAACGTTGTTCTGGCTAATCTGAGCTCCTCTTCTTTCAAACCAGCAGTTTCTGGATTGCTAGGAGACGAGGCTTGGGTAGGGAGCTTGTCGTGGCGGGTCACTCTGGGTCGCCGGAGAGGCCTGCCGTTGAAGCGCCGGTCAATTGGAGTACCCGGAATTGCGATTCTCATGTTGGAGTAAACTGGAACGCAAGTTTCGCGAGCGTACGTGAAGCAGCGTTCGTGAGATGACAACAGACAGCTTCGCATCTCTCTCCTCTCGCATTCTTCCCTTTTGGATGGGTCATCGCTCCCTGCGTTGATTGAACAATCGTTCTTTTTAGTACAGATTGCATAGAAAGCAGACGACGACTCACTAGAGAAAAAATAACTAGAGACTCCAACTCTTTCTCCTTTAATCTATCCCAGACCCTAAAACCCTAAACCTTTGGCCACCAGATGAACACATATTCATTCATTTTCGGGACAAAATTCAATGCGACTTGTCTTACTTTAGCAAATGATAACATAACATGATAACAGCTGAGAACGAATGCATGAAGTAGGAACCTGAGCCCAAGAAGGGAAGATAAGCCTTCCACCAGGGTTGTCTGCACGCCTTAGCAGCGCTTATGGAACAGCCCACTTTCGCTCCTGCTTCACATTGAGTCACAACATTCTCCTTGCAGGTTCGCCATGACTGGCGCCACGTCTCGTCATTCCGGAATGCAAGCACATAGGGTCCCTTGGAAGGATCCTCCTCTTGCCCAGCAGGTACTGGGATCCTTGCCAAGGGTATGAGAGGATCGAAAGCCACAACTGTTACATACGGTGAAAGATTGACTTGACTTGATCGGTATGCCTCCTTTCCTGGCAGGTCCGAATTGGGATTCATCTTTAAACTTCGACGCTTGTCCTCGCCTAGCAGCATAAAAAGATAAATGATCTTCTTTTCAAATAACAAATCCAGCTCTGTGTATGTTACTATAGGGGTAATCAGAAGGTTGGGAGAAAGTAGAGAAAATACATCCAATAACTGCCGTCTCGCGTATTGAGACCGACCAAATTCTATTGAAAAACTTGCAATTTGTCACATATTGAGAAAACCAACATTGTGCAGAGACTGAAACATACGGTACCAAACCCTATACATGCTGCTCTAGGATAAACCCAGTTACATGTGTTCAATCCAAATTTCAAAATCCTTGGACCAAGTGACCTCTGTAACTCACCATAACCCTAAATTTGCTAGAATCGCAATAGCCTTGCGCAATTCAGCACCATCGTTCTCCAATCATCCATTAGAGCAAACTGCAGGGAAGGTTGTTTGGTACCCAGTAACCAATGCCTCGAAATTCTCTCAATCGACAGTCAACAGCCCACCTACGCTTCCAACTCAAGCCTGAAAACATCACACCAAGTCCCAGGAAAAACCCACACAAGGCTCCACTCCAACGAACTTGAGAAGTCTGTGCACAGGGGATTTATCCTCGCTGCTACGAACTTCGTAGCAATTCTATCGAGAATTGTATCTGCTGCTGCTGCTGAATCGCTGCTGGGTTGACTTGAGGAAAGCTGGGAATTCGTCAGCTCCTGAAAAGCCGAGGAACATTTCTGAATCACACAGAAAGAGGGTCTCTAGCCAGTCTGTGATGTTTCCCGCAATTGACATCGACGTCTTGGAAACTCCGCCTTTTTTTTTTTTTTTTTTTTTTTTTTTTTCTTACCTCCTAGTTTCGTAGATATCGTTGGTAGAAATCCTCCTTTAAAACTTAAAATTACAAAAAAAATGAAAAAAAAAAAATCACTTGATGTTAAAAGGATGAATCAAGTGATTTTAAAGGAGGGTTCCTACCAACGATATCTACGAAACCAGGAGGAAAAAAAAAAGAAAAAGAAAAAAAAAGAGAAAAATAATGGTAATTTTATTTTGTTGTTGTTGTTGTTGTTGTTTTTTTTCTCTTTCTTGTTTATTTTTTTTATCATGTACACTCATTTTACTATGACAATTTGATGTTTCATGTGAAATAAAATTCAGCTTTAAGAATTTGATTTTGATGATTTTGTACCACCATGTAAGAGATTGAACTTTAGATTTTTAAAAATGTACTATTTATTTGATTATTTATTTTCCCTCATTTCTTTTGTGTCTTTAAAATTTTATTGTATAGCTGAAGTACACAAAAACGGTTTCTCATAGATAGAGATGTTTAATGATAACATTAATAAAAATAATAAAATCTTAACTATGTTATTTTAAATAATCAGAATCTGATTATAGTTTATAAGTACATAATATATTAGAAGTTTTAAACATTAAAACTTTCTTTTGATTTTGGTAGTTAACATTTTGGTAGTTTCAAGTGTTAACATGCTTTTTTGCTGAATGACATTTGTAAATCTTGCATTACATTATTTGTATGACTTTTGTTGTTTACTAAGTGAATGTCTTGATATGTTTATAAATATATACACAATAATGTGTTACTTACATCAACTTACATCAAAATAAAAAAGAGAAATATATCTATTCATTACTTGATTAGTATCTTTGTTTTAATCATTTTGAGATTGAAAAGATTAAGACTTATTAAGATAATCAAATTTTATAATAAATATAATAGATAATTAATATTAAAATAAATAAATATTAAATTGATGATAATAATATAATATTACAATAAATAAATTAATAGATAATCAATAAAATAGATTATTAAATAATTAATAATAAATAAAATAGATAATCAAATTTCTAATTCATATAATATAAAACATACAAAAAAATATTATACAAAATATTGTAACCAACATGTACTTTTATCTAATCATATAGATTACAAGAACCTCAAGTACTTCATGTCAATGTGGATGTTGAATTGTTGCTAAATTCATTGGAGCCTGTCATTATTGAGATTTGATGTTAAGAAGACATATTGACCTAGAAAACAACAAGGTTTGTCAAACATACTTTCTAAATGCCCTTATCTTGCACCAAAAGAAGAAGATGCAACTTTTTATTAACAAATAATGGTTGTCTTGAAGCTAGAGCAATTTCATCTTCGAGTAATAAAATCAACATTGATTGTTGATTCAACCTTTGTCAAGCAAATTCAATTAAGTATGTCCTCTCATCTTCTTATTCATAATATCAAAAATACTACTTCTAAGTCTTATGATACTTCCAAGTTGAAATTCAAAAACAACCTATTCTATTTTGAAGGTCAACTATATGTTCCAAAAGGAGAAGCATGTTTACATATTCTTCAAGCACATCACAACTTTCCAATGATAGGACATTTTGGATACAACAAGACTTTTGAGCTTATATCTAGAGATTTTTGGTGGCTGCAAATGTGGAAGGTTGTGAAAGTCATGTGATGTTTGTTCAAGTTCAAAAATTCTTATCATTGATATAGGCAATTGTATACAATAATTTGATATATTTTTCTTCTAAACAAATATATATTTTTTTAAATTATACTTATCATTTATAACTTGATACTTTTGACTTTTTAAAAGTTAATAATCTTATCATGAAAGATTTGGCAAGTTATTTGTTAGAGCTACATGCAACAATGAAGGCATAATTAATGGAAGCTTAAAAATGACAAAAGATCAATGTGGATGCCTATTATAAAGAACAAATATAATTCAAGGTAGATGACAAGATATGGTTACATGGTTGCAATATTAAGACTACTTGTTCTTATGACATATTGAACTATTATAGGTTTTTTTTTTTTTTTTTTTTTTTTTTTTATTATTATTATTATTTGTAAACAACTCACTCATGTTACTTGTTAATTATATCTACCAAAGTCTATGAAGATCCATCATGTATTTTAAGTATCTCTTTTTAAGCCATATATGATAGTGAATATCTCAAGAAGAAGACAAATGTCGCTTCCTTCTATAGAAGTGGATAATTATAAAGAATTTGAAATAGAAGAAATCTTAGATTCAAAACAATGCCAAAATAGATTAAAATATCTTGTTCATTAATACAGATATGATATTAGTGAATGCACATGGGAGCCACCAAAGAATCTTGAAAATATAATAAATAAGGTTGAAGCTTTTTATTGTTAATATCTATCAAAATCAAGAAACAAGAAAGATAATATTTTAATTTTTATCTTTATTTATAGCTTTTGTATATTTGTAGGAATAACAAGAATGAAAATCAATATCGAGCAGATTCAACTTAAGAGCTATCATTTGCTAACTTATTAGATAAGATATTACAATTGTTACAACCTTCAAGATAATGTAATTGAAATGAAGATCTTCAAGAACAATATGTCTTTCCTTAAGTAGATAGTAAGATATAATGTGTTTGATATCATAACTTTAGAAGAGACTCTTGATGTTTGATGATTTTATTAGCAATAGGAATGATTCTTGATAATGTTCCAAATATTTTGTTTGAATTGAGTTATGAAGGCTTTAACAATGATTAAATAATAGGGTGGTCTTTGTGCCTTGGTATGAGATACTATTGATGGTTGAGAAGACCTATTAACCATCTTCAAAGAGAACAAAGATCAAAGTATGTGACAAACATAATTTATTGCATCTTCAATTTTTTCAACATATGATGATTACTTGTCATGAAATTTGTCCCTAGAAAGAGGAATAATTTCATAGACATAAATATTTATTCCAATAATTACTTATATAATTAAGTAGAAATAAATAAAAATAGATCAATTTTATAATATCTTCTAGAGAAGTGTCTTAGACATATACATGAAAGTCAGTAATTATCTGTATAAATAGATAGAAGTAGATAAAAGTAAATAAAAGTAAATTAATTCTATAATATCTTTTAAAGAAGCTTCATAAATGCTTCATAGATGTTGCTTTGACTTTATAGGTATCTATTGTTGATTTTTAGGTTAGAAACTTGATCAATAAGTTAACCATGTGCCACACATGTTGATAGCTTCAAGAACAAGCTAATTATGTGGCCTACACATAGAAAACTTTCCTTATAAGCTAAAGCATGTGTCTTACAAAGTCAACACATATTAGAGATCCTATAGAATATTACCATGTAACTCCTAGTTAAATAGTATATATAGAAAGAAGAGTGAAGCTCTCTTTACTCTTATCAATTTTTTTCTTGCTTCTAGTCTAGTTTCAAGAATCTCAAGTTTTTTTGTCCTTTGATAATAAGTCATTCTAGTTTTTTTTTAATATACATATTTTTTTTTTATTTATATTTTGTCATTTTTTCTTTGACATGGATTTCATTGGCTTATGCATCATCTTCCAATTCATGTCCTTGATAGATTGATAAGAATACACTTACAATATCAGAGCTTTGTCTTGCCTTGATTAAGAGTGGATTAGTCCTTTCTCATGATAAGACATAAGCATATTAGAAGTTGTATATTACACTCTTCTAAATTAATATTGTTCTTAGTATTTTGTTTGTCTTAAAGTCCTTTCTTCTACTTATTTTGAGTAGTATTAGATATTTTTTTAAGTATTATTATGACAAAGTTTGTTGAAATGATGAATACAATGGCAGAATTATAAGAACAATTGAGGGAGTTGATGCTTGCGATGTATCAACTTAGCTTACCACCACAAGAATCAACAAGAATGTCAAGAAGTAAAGATATAGAGATGATTAGAGCTACTTCAACATCTATACCAAATCATGTTCTTCTACCTATGATGGAACATCGTTCAAGTGTTAGAAAACCAAGAGTTGCCTTGCTCGAGAAGTTTGATGATACAAGATCCAAATTTCAAGAATTTATCAATCAAGTACAACTTGTGATTGAACTTCAACCTCAAAGCTATTCAATTCTAGGATCTTAAGTTAAATTCATTGGTACACTTCTTTAAGGTTTAGCATTATCATGGTTTTCATCTTTTTTTGAATGATGAGATTCAATATTGGATAATCTAGAGGTATTTTTGGTGGAATTTTGGTCCATATATGGAGAACATGATGTAATTCGTATTGCAACCAATAAGATCCATATTTTGCGACAAGGTAATTGATTTGTAACATTATATGCTTTATAATTTTGACAACTTGTAACTGATATTAAGTGGAATGATGCTGCTTTTGTTAACCAAATTTTCTATAGATTACAATATGAAGTAAAGAAATTGATGCTCAACTTACCTAATCCTTAAACATTGAGTGAAGCAATTGGCTTTCTTGTGAAGTGTGACAATCGACTTTTTGAATTTTAATCTGAGAGTTGGACAAGTGGGCCTCAACGTTACTATAATTTTATGGCAATACCAACATCTCCTCAATACATATATTTAGAATTAGAGGATATATAAATTAATGTAATATGTTTTAAACCTCTTATCGAATAAAAAAAGACTCATTGCCATCAAGAAGGATTGTACTTATATTATTGATTATCTAAACTCACTGCTCAACATTATTCAAAGAAGCGATAAAACCACAAAATGAGGAGGAAAGTTTTCAAAGAAGATAATGTATCAAGCTATAATAGGGACCGTGTGGTTGGAATCTTGTACAATTTCTAATTAAGGTCCTATTCTCTTCTTAGAACCATCTCCTTTTTTTATAATAGATGTGCATATAGGACTTGATAATTATAAAGCCTTTGCTTTGATAGATTCAGTAGCCT